TTAGAACAAAAAATTCTTCAAAACCGTCAGGCCGGGTTGAACATTTTCATTCACATAGTTTACAAAAATTTACAATCCGTATACTTTTGTAATCAAATGCCGTTTGCACAAAAAAGGTTATGAAATGCGTTTTATTTAAATCGTTTAGAAAATGAGTCATTTATGTATACCATTTTATGTGGAATTATTCAATAAATTTCGTTTTACACTATACTTTTTAAACTATTTGGAGTTAATTATTTTTTGTTTCTTAAAAGCAACCCTGCGTGCTTGGAAGGCGGGTGTACCAATACCAGTTGTTTACTGGTTATATTGTGGTTTTCACTTCGCTCAAAAATTGGCAAACGGCAGCACTGATCATAACCCTAGTAAACCACGGTGCAGCGAACAAAGGTGGCGCCATCAGTGTTACCGCTACTTTGGTTTTGCCGATTTTGACAGTTGTGGTAACTTGTAAATAAACCTTTGTTTACAAATCAGCGAAGGAGAAATTTGAACTATAAGTTAAAAATCAGTTTAAATTGTGTTAATTTGCAATTTGTGAGTGATTTTTGAGTTGAAGACTGCGTAAAAACTAATACAATGAAGAGCTGTGTGTTAAATTGCGACAGCCGTCAAGATAAAAGAAGCGTAGAAGAAAGTGTAGCGCTGCAACGATTCGCTGCATTTTGTGTACATAGAGCACACCAAAGCCGTTCCCGAAATGTTTTTCTATTATTATATTAACAGCATTTCCTCAGAATGATTTTGCTTCTGCTCTAGGCAGCCTCCATTAGCAAGTTTACTAATCAATCCCGGTGAGATGCTGCCGCAGTTTTCTGCAGCAGCCTTAATTGCAAAGCAAAGGAGTACACTACAACGTTTGCTGAAGCAGCCTCAATTGCAAAGCAATGGAGTGCACTAAAACGTTACCTCCCTGCAAAAATCGTTGGACCATGTGATCTATTTGTGGTATTTTGGAGTACTTACAAAAATGCTCCTCTGTCATGCTGTAGCGGACCAACTCGTGTCTCTGCACCATTTTGAAAGCACATTTTCATCTCTGGCTGTAGCTGAACGTGTAGAGATGCTTGCTGTTAGTTGTTAGCTCCCAGCATGTTCAGGTTCAAATACCGAAAGATGCAACATGTAATTTTTTATTTTTGTTTTTGGTTTTTATTAATTGCGAAAAAGCATCTGTGAAATGAAGAACAAAAGCGTGTACAAACGAAAAAGCAAATCAACAACGTCATTGTTAATATGTTGGAGTAGTTTTGTGCTACTCTGATGTAATGCAGAGATGGAGTATATGGTCCTGCCCTAGGACATCGCAATGTTAATTGGACCATATTTTTTATATGAATTGTGGTTAATTTTGGAGTACTCCGTGGCCCTTAGGGAGTACTCTTTACATGCATGCATGGAGTAGTCGCGATTTTTGCAGGGCTATTCTCTAAAAGATTAGATGAAAAATGCAATATTTTCGCATTTAGCAAAATTAAAACACGTTTTTCGCTGTAAAGTGAACTGTTTTGGCAGTTTCAACTCGTTCTTCTTTTCGCTTATTCTTTGTTTACTTGTGGTACACAAATGTCAACGGCCAGGACGGCGCAATCTTGTATTCTATCATTCTTGCCAGTAAACAGCTGTTTGTGAAACGTGGCGTTGCCAGACTTGCACTTCACGATTTCATGAAATGATGCCAAAGAATGTAAATAACAAGAAGGTGAGCAATAGGGGTGTGCCTTCTCTTTTGCCCGAGTACGTTTTTTGATTGGATGAAAAGAGAAGGCATGCCCTGTTGCGCAATTTCGCCACAATAATAACGAGTTATCCCTTCTTGTTATGAAATTAATTCGTGAATTTTCCTACGCATAAACGTATTATTAGTTGCATTTAGGTGACAAATTTTGTATGGATAAATGTACATTTAGGCTTTCTGCACATTGGTCGTCCAATCATAATTGCTTCATCTTCACAATCATGATGCAACGGTTACATGACGACTACACTTTCGCACACTCGGTCGTGATATTTCAATTCTTTTGGTGTCAAAAATTCACTTGGAGCAGGTATTTTCTGTTTTTCTTGTTGTTTTCTTGTTGCAATTTTTAAAACATAGACTGTGTTGCAACAATTCTAGACATAATTTTTCAGTAATATCTCTTCTTTTCTTTTCCTGAAATGTGTTTTGTGCAAGCACAAAGAGACTTATTCCAATTTCGTCATATTTTATAGTTAAAACGCTCACACTTATTGAATTTTAATGCAATTATCCACTTTTTAATAACCTATTAAATTTTATGCAAAAAATAATAATTTTTATGCAATTTTAATGCAAATATTAACTTTTTCACTAATTTTTCGCCATAAAATGTAAACAGACAATGCATGCACAACGATTAGCAAACGACAGTGCCGTACTTATCCGTTTCTGCATCTTCTATGATTTGCCGATAACGACAAGTGTGCAGATCTCCTTTGAAATGCATGTGCTCGGCTGAAAATTTCAGAGCGAGACGATAACGCAACTATGATTATACAAGTGTGCAGATAGCCTTAGAGTTAAATGTGCTTTACGCGTAAGCAAAAACAGCGTAATAGGCTGTTTTTGCTTACGCGTAAAAGCACATTTAGCGCCTTTAGCTCTAAATGCTACTCTAAATGTACATTTATCCATACAAAATTCGTCACCTAAATGCAACTAAATGCAACTCCATTTTTGCATTAAGAATCTAAATGCTAAAAGCAACCCTGTGATCTTCCAAAATTTCCACGATTCGAACATGGTTTAAAGAGAAAAAGTGGCAACATTGCTTTTTCGAGTATACAGTTGCTAGCTACGTTTCAGTGATCGCCGATCGAGATTTCTTTTATTTTGCATTACATATTTGGATAAAGAAAAGTTAAGCAAATTCAACATCGATTTGATGCTGATAGAAATCTGGATCAATTTGTGATCAACTCGGTTCGTTTTGTTTCCTAATTAAGTGAGCAAATTTTAATTGACAGCACCGACAAATGAATATATACACAAACAAATTTTCGGTTATGGTTAAAACAATACAAGTTTTTGTATTGAATTTTTGGTTTAAAATTTATTTTCAGTAGGGTTTTTGCACATTATCTCCTGCGTGAGAATTGATCGTAATATATACGCATCTAAATTAGAGACTGGAACACGGCTGTTTGTCAAAAGCATACGATTTCGAACTCGCGTAAATGTACATTTGCTAAATGCTATAGCATGAACGCTCTTCGAAAACATATGTTCGAAAGTGCTAAATGTTGCATTTTTAATGCAGCAAAAACGCTGCATAATGGGCTGTTTTTGCTTACGCGTAAAAGAACATTTAGCGCATATAGCTCTAAATGCTACTCTAAATGTACATTTATCCATACAAAATTCGTCACCTAAATGCAACTAAATGCAACTACATTTTTGCATTAAGAATCTAAATGCTAAAAGCAACCCTGTGATCTTCCAAAATTTCCACGATTCGAACATGGTTTAATAAGAAAAAGTGGCAACATTGCATTTTCGAGTATACAGTGGCTAGCTGCGTTTCAGTGATCGCCGATCGAGATTTCAATTATTATTTTACATTATTTGGATAAAGAAAAGTTAAGAAAATTCAATATCGATGTGCTGCTGATAGAAATCTGGATCAATTTGTGATCAATTCTGTTTGTTTTGTTTCCTAATTAAGTGAGGAAATTTTAATTGACAGCACCGACAAATGAATAAAACAAAAACAAATGGTCGGTCATGGTTAAAACAATTCAAATTTTTGTATTGAAGTTTTGGTTTAAAATTTATTTTTTCCTTTTCAGTAGGGTTTTTGCACATTATCTTTTCCGTGAGAATTTATCGTAATAGATACGGATCTGAATAAGCGACTGGAACACGGCTGTTTGTCAAAAGCATACGATTTCGAACTCGCGTAAATGTACATTTGCTAAATGCGGTAGCATGAACGCTCTTCGAAAACATATTTTCGAAAGTGCTAAATGTTGCATTTTAAATGCAGCAAAAACGCTGCATAAGCAACATAACAGTACCAACGTACTCAATCATTTTCAAAGTACCAGATTTGGTACTGTGGCGAATACTGCGGCAACGCGATGCGAACAACGAGAAATAGGCAGAATGTTCGAGGAATGACGTAGAATGTTCCTCGAAGGGAAACGCCAAGTTGGATGAACACTGCGAACAGCCAGAGAAAGAGATTGAGCGATAAGCTTCAGAACGTTCTAGAGTTGCCATAAGTGCGAGCGCAGGTATATAAGGGCGCCGCCACAGCGAAGTGAGTTAAACTATGTTCACATATCAATATTATCCCAATCAAAGCTCGTTTTTTAATCACCCCGTTTACACAGGCAAAACTCAGATTATTAGCCGTCAAATTTGTTGTGCTTATTATTCTCACATCTCAAGGAAAAGTTATGTTTCTTCTCTCTGCCACCGTGATCACGTTTTTATGCTATAATAAGTAATATAAATATATTTTAACTTAACATTTTATTAAAAATACCTTTACAAACCTATTTTCCTTGCTAGCGTACATTTTTGTTTACTTTTACATTTGGCATTTCTCTTCTTTTTTGAAAAAACAATCGATAAAACTAGGATGGACACCGAAAAGTTATCGGTTTAACCTGAGATTATTTTATAATTACAGATTAACAAGGAACGAATTTTATATGGCTAATCTCTTATTATAATTACAGATTAGGGTGTTAAGCTCGAAAATGAGGATAATCTACTTATATGTGAACCTAGTATTAGTTGCAAGTCAGCAAGCTACAAGTAAAGTGAGCAGAGAAGTGAGTTGCGAATAAGCAAGCTATAAGTTTAATTGTGTTAACATGTTTGGTAAAGCGTTGTTATTGCTTTAGAGGTATTGTAAAGTGTTTTTACTGTATTAGCGAATAATGTAAATTGTTTGTTGTACAATAAATTTAATTGTACTACAATTTGGTCATCGTTAGCATTTATTTAACAATCCAGAGATACGAACCGGAAGATATTGGGGAAATCCCTCGAGGCTTCAAGGATAATCGTGCCAGTACGAAAGTAACAATACTGGCAACGCTGGTCGATTCCAGAAGTCGAGTTTTTTCAGCGAAAAGTCGATTTACGCTAAACTGAGGGTCGACTTTTCCATTCCTACTGCGTGTTTATCAACATCTTCCGACAAGTACATAAGAAATTTATTAATTTATTTATTTAAGTCGTAAAAAGTAAAGTAGTTGATAGAAGTTGCTTACATTTGAAAAAAATAGTAGTTAAAGCAAAATTGTTAAAAAAATCCACAACATACTGCCCATATCGGAAGCAATATAAAATCCCAGTTGCGACCTTCAAATGTGAATGAAATTGCCTGATAAGAGAACAATGCAAATAAATCATCCGGTGGACGCCATCAGCAGGGATTTAATCCGAATGGGCTATTTCACACTAGAATGACAGAACAATTATTCTCACGGTTTCACACTGGATGAAAACTAGCAGAACAAAATGCGTATACGTACAGGACATTTGCGTGTGTTTGTAACTTTTTGTGCTTGAAAGTTGCGTAGCGGCATTTTCGTAGTTACGCATCTGTTAGTGCGCTGCAGCAGAACTGCTACTTTAAGGCCCGTCTACATAAAACCAAGAACGAAAGACACAAGATCACGCAAGAACAAGAGAGTGAAAAAAGTCGATTTTTTTTAGCGGGTTCTACGCCATCTTGTTTCACTGGAAAACGAGCGAAAAGTAAACAAAGCAAAGAAAACAACGAAAACCAAAATTAGCCAAAATTATTGTCAGCCACTTTAAACGCACAATTTAGGTAAAATAATGCAACAAAATGCTTTAAAATGTGTTGTCATGTTGAATTAACTCTTCTTTACTTGAATAAAAGTGTAAAATAGTGGTGCTTGTGATGTAAACAAAAGCTCAGCTGACGAACCCGCTTTCGCAATCTTTTTTCTCAAAACCGGTTACAAATACAACGTCGCGTTCTTACGTGATCTTGTATTTTTGGTTCATGACATAAAACTTTGGCGTTGCGTTGGCGCTGGCGTCGCTTTGACAGCAGTGCGATTAAAGCTGATGCCAGATAAAACGCTTGCTTCGCTTTACGTGACAGATTCGCTTTGACAGATAAGATGAATTGTATGAAAATGCACAAAGCATGCCACATAAATCGTTGAAGCGGCAGCGCGAAGCGAAAAGATGGTCAACTCCCATCTTTTTGCGCGCTTTGACAATCAGCCGGTTTAATATTTATTTTGTTTCGTCCAAATTCGGGTTTTCATGCAGAAACATAAAACTTAATTACATTGCTGATAATTTTAAATCAAAATAATTAAAATCCACAGCAACTTTGATGAGTAAAAAAGCGGTACAACATTGTTTTCTTGGCGTTCATTGTGGCATACCTTTTGCGTCTGGCGCTTTGCTGGCAAAGTTATAAATGTCACGCAAAGCTACAAAGTTTTATCTGGCATCAGCTTAACGCCCGTGCTTGCTTTAATGAACGCTTAGCAGAGAATACTTTGGTAACTAAATTAACATACTAGCGGCAGATAAATCAAAATTGTATATCAATAATTGCATTAAAAACTATATTTCTTGTCCGCATTTGATTAAAAAGGAAAATTAAATCACATAATTTTAATAATTTGGAACGACGCGCGCGAAAAGTTGCGAGCCGGCCATCTTTCTGCGTTGTGCTGGCGTGGGCGTTGCCCAACTTTGGTTATATGGAGACTTTCATATAAGGTGCAATCCCGTATTCCTCGGACTAAAACTAGTAAAACTGTCAAAAAATAAAAATTCGCCCAGAGCGAGAGAGTAACATTGGAAAGTACGGGATCGCTTTCTAGTAAAAATGGTAACTTCTGTCAACTTCAACATAACCTCCAAATTAAGGGTGGGTAACTCAGCAAATTTATTGGAGTTGACTCAATGACTCCAACTCACTTTAAGGAGTCAGCTCATTCAACTAACTCATTTGACTCTTTGTATGTTACACTCATTCGTATCGTAGACTCGTTTTGAGGCATAGATGCGGTATAGCGGCCGTTGAGATAAAACAAAACTTTAAAGTGGGCGTGGTCAGCTCCTTTCTACTGATTTGAAAGGTGTAATTTTTTTTGTGTGCAAATTAATAGGGCGGTGCTAGGGGGAGGGTAAAGGTGGAATTTTCAATATTTTCAAAAGCTTATATTTCGAAACCTATTGTACCGAATTTCAAAATGTGGATATGGTTGGAAAGGCAATTGATTTGATATGCACATCTTTATATATCTTACATACATACATATTTCGAGAAAAACAAAAAAAAAAACGAAATTATAAGAATTTGTGAGATTTGACATAACACCCGCAATACAAAATACATATGGTTGTTGTTGTTGTATTCTTGCCACCACCTTGTATAAATTCGCCTCGTGCAAAAACAAAATGCAAGACTTTGCCATGCTAAACACTGTGGCGAAGCGAGAGAGTTATATGGATAAAAATGAGCCACTACCCTGCAAAAATCGTTGGACCATGTATTCTATTTGTGGTATATTGGAGTACTTACAAAAGTGTTCCTCTGTCATGCAGTAGCGGACCAACTCGTGTCTTTGCGCCAGATTATTGTTTGTTATCCGATCACTGCTCGTGTTTTAACGAAATGTCATTGAAGTTGAGCATTTGAAAGCACATTTGCATGTCTGGCTGTAGCTGAACGTGTAGAGATGCTCGCTGTTAGTTCTTAGCTCCCAGCATGTTCGGGTTCGAATGCCGTCAGAGGCAATATGTAATTTTTACTTTTTGTCTTGGTTTTTATTAATTTCGAAAAAGCATTTGAGAAGTGAAGAACAAAACCGTGTACAAACGAAAAAATATATCAACAATGCCATTGTTAATATGTTGGAGTAGTTTTGTGCTACTCTGATGTAATGCAGGGATGGAGTATATGCTCCTGCCCTAGGAAATCGCAATGTTAATTAGACCATATTGTTTATATGAATTGTGGTTAATTTTGGAGTACTCCTTGGTCCTTAGGCAGTACTCTTTACACGCATGCGTGGAGTAGTCGCGATTTTTGCAGGGTATGATTCAATTGATTCATGTGAGCCCTACGGCATCAACTGAGTTACTGAGTTACATTTTTTTTTTGACAGGGAGTCTGAGTTACCGATTCACTTATAGGAATCAACTCAATAACTCAACTCTGAGTTGAGTTACCCACCTCTACTCCAAATTTTGGATGTAAATTTTTGCTTATTTTATACGTAAACACACTCAGCTCATACATATAAATAAAAAAAAAATACTTTCAAGTTGATTAGAATCAACTTAAACAAGTAATTAAATACTTTTCAACATGTATTAGCAGAGTGCACTTTTGTTTACAATTTGGTTGCCAAACGCACTGCAGCTGATCGTTTGAGCAGAACTTGCCAGCAAAAAATCTTTGGACTAAAACTGGTTTCTTCTGACGGAGAGAAGACCTTATTTACTCTCTTTTTTTGTGCTCTCAATAGTCAAAGAACCCAGTACGGGATCGATTTCCAGTAAAATCTGACTGATTCTGACTTTCTGACTAGTCCGGACTCGTACGGGATCGCAAGTATAAATACCTGTATTCATTCATAGTCAGCTGTCGAAGCGACGGCAACGCTAACATTCCCACGACAGCCGGTTCTACGTACCGGAATGACTCGGGTTTCACCCGACCAAGGGCTGTTGTTTCGGCGATCTAACCCCGTTTAGGTCGGCGAAGTATCTCAGAAGTTGTCCGTCCATAGGGCTACATTCACTACGTATTCTCCTACTCAGGGCTGGCATGAAGTCAAACCCTAGGCCAGAAACATACACCTGCTGTGTATGCCGGAGACGAGTACACCACAACTCCACCTCAGTCAAGTGTAATGCCTGCGAGGGGTGGAGTTACCTCAGAGTCTGCTCGGGACTACGGACGCATAGACAGTGGACCACGTCGTACGTGGCCCCCTGTTCCTCAAACAGAGCAGCCTCCACGGCTAACCATAGTCCGCCAGAGCAGCCCCACACACTCACACAGCAGCCACACACAGTCACCACAACACAACAACATAGTAACACCACAGACCGTACCACAGCCACTACAGACCACATAACGCACACAACCGCACCACCACCCACACGCCGCCGCCAACAACTCCTAGTTCCCCCTACAATCTGCACAGTATGTCAGACCAGGATATTCCGTAATGTGACATCAGTCAAGTGCAACACCTGCCTTGGCTGGTGCCACTTTAGGGCATGCTCAGGTCTGCGTACTACGCGAGATTGGACTGGGAACTTCGAGGGCCCGTGTTGCGCTGCTCGGTCGCAGCTCCCAATTGCGACGCCCCCCACCACCACCACAGGGCGGCAATCACCTCAGCAGCACACACAGCCAATGGCGGCAAGAACATACACTTCACTCACACCCCACATCACGACACGTCTCCCGAACCACATGAAGCTCCTTCAATTTAACTGTAACGGGCTACAGAGCAAGATTGAGGAGATAACCGTCTTCATGTGTCGGCATGGTATATTGATAGCTGCGGTCCAGGAGACGAAGTTGCACAGCAATTCAACTTTATTGAATTGCGCCGGGTACAACGTGCACCGTCG